ATACATACATATATATATACACATGAATTTGAATAGCATATATTTTCGTGATCTACGACCCGTGATCGGTGCTCTTCACAATGTCTCAGGTCTGGGTCCGACATCATGGGAGAATGCAATAGTGTATTTCCTTCGGAAAATACACAAATAAAATGTACCCTTCCTTTTTAAAATATGCGAGAAGGGGGAAGGGGTAGTCCCCCCTAAACCCCCGGCAGTAGCATTTTGGGGGCTGAAAATAATTTCATTGAATTTTTTGAGGTTGAGTTACTTTAATTTTCAACCGTTTCCGAGAAAAAAATAGTGGACGGGTGGTCTGGAACACCCGGTATTTTTAAAATGAATCCGGAAAGGGGTACCAATCAAGAGCCGGACTTACCCTAACCTAGGATGCCGTTGGGTAAAAAAGTGCGGTTTTTTTCGGCAGCACATTTCGGTAAAAAACTAGCAGTACATTCCTTTTAAAACGTTTTTTGGTATCAACTTGCAATATGTAAAAAAAATATTTCCCCAGGCCCCCACTTTTTAACCCCCTCCCCCTTAGGCCCTTTCTATGAGGGTACAAAACTGTTTTGGAACCATGCATTTCAATGCAACATTAATTATAGCAAAACTTTGGCGTTACGAATTTTTCAAAATTGGTAGCCCCTTACCCATCTCGTTCTAAGTTTTCATAATGCGCATGATCGGTACAAATAAATTTCTTTGCGGTACATTTCGCTATGAAACAAGTACCAAACTTTGATCATTTTGAATTTAATCTCTTGACAGGTATGGGGAGGAGGGTCCGGAGAAATAGACCCACGGCAATCGCCGCGATATCTTGGCGTGCTTTCATCAAAGTGAGGCGAGTTCCCAGCGATGTTCTCAATCCTAAACGAAAGATCACTCGGAGAAAGGAGGGAGCTGACCGCACACAACCCAGACCCAGAGTAAAATGTATACGTGTGCTCAGTCGGTGGGAACTTGCTAGGATCGACTGACTGTCCGATAACGGGAGTCTCTCCCGTTTCCGAGTCGCGTGTGCGTGTGTGGGTGTATATTTGTGCGCGCTAAGATACGCGTCTCTGCAGAACGGTGGCTTAGCTTAAGGGCCAAGTGTCGTTTTAATCATCTCCTAGGATTATCTCTATACCTAAGGGCCAGGATTTTTGAATATTCTTAGTGCTAGCCGGTCGCCTTTAAGAGCGATTACAGTCGAGATATTGACACAACTCTTTTCAAAATAGGTATGTTTTCAATTTTTCTTCAATTCTGCCACTTTATGCTGACAATAAATCGTAGCTTAAATTCTGGTAGGAGTTTTTCGTGTCGGAAAATCTTTAAATGTTTTAAAAATATTCACCCACACATATTATATTTATATCAAGGGGGAAAAATGAATTTTACGTGAATTTTTAATAATCTTAAATTGAGTGTTAATCTTTTTCAGTTGGAATACAATTTATACAACGAAGAGCCCCTATTTCTGGCTCATTTTAGAGACAAAATATGGAAGGCATAATACAAAAAAGATCTGTAGAGGTTGTTGGCAAAGAGAAGTTCTGTTTCGCCCATGAGCGCGTACGAAGGGAAGTCCAGGGGGGGGGGGGGGGGGGGGGCAGGCCCCCCTTGCATTGGCCTCCCAAATCAACAATTGCAATGTCAACTGGCCCCCCAGAGATTCTGGATGATGGGAAAAAACATTCGTCGCGGATGATTATCTCTTCTAATATAGGGTCGTCTTATACAAAAACACCGCGTTCATTCGGTTCGTATCATCTAAAATTTTCATCATGGAAGCCTCAAAATACGTCCGAATATAGTTAAAAATTTCAAAAATTCTACAGATGTGTTGAATGCAACGATTCGAAAGTATTTTGTGCTGGAAGTAAAGGAAGGAAGTAGGTAGGTAGGTATTGATGGAAAATCTGCGTCATGGAAGCTTCAGAATTCATCCATGTATTATTTAAAATTTAAAAAATGTTTTGGGGGAGGCCCCCTGGACCTTCCACTGGACAGGGGTTATTCCATATCCCTCAGATCCCGCGGTGGAAGGGGGGCCAGGCCTTCCCAAGCAAAATGACCTATACGAACGTCTTTAACGTTTCGCCTCGAAGCGACTGTGCTTTGCGAAACGGCGCGTAAGGGCGTAAAAGCTGAGCTCATTGGCAGGTACCTACCTATTCGCCAACTCGTTGATCCAGTGGCAACCATAGCTGTAGTTCTTTTATTGCAAATAGTTTAGTCTCGAAAACGCGTTGTAGGTAGTAGAAAAGAAACACACAATTACCGCGTATAGCTGTCATATCGCGAGTTTTTGCACGCACGCCGCGCCGCACCCAGCTTAGATTAAGTACGCGGATTACGCATATAGATTTTCCCCAAAAAAAACAATAGCCTCGGCGCCGAGACCAAGAATAAAGTTATTCATTTGTGCCATTACTTAAGCTAATTTAAAATGAAGAGTTTATCAAAAACCAAATGTAAATAAAATTTTAAATTTATGAATCATAACATTTATTTGAGGGTAAAATGCCGATAGCAGGCACTGGAAAACCTATCGAACTCGTTTCATAAAATGTCGCAGACTGGACCCAGAGATGCAAAATTTCATTTTACAATATTTTAAGCGAATGCGAAAGCTATTTAACTGCGGGTGTAGATGAGTACATGTCGAAAATCAAGAGAAAGTATGGCTAATATACTCCCGATCTCCTATTCCTGCACGAGCCGCTCTAATACAATCCAAGAAATGTACTCATACTTAAAAAAAAGGCGAGGATATGTTTTTCACGAAAAATCAACATGCATTGGTCACAAGAATCTATATATCTGTAAGGTCGGAACAAGAACTCCGTCAGGATTGATAAGGAGACCTCCAATTTTTCGACTACCTACCTATGATGCGTGCCGTTAAAAAAAATATGCTGGTAACAACGTCTGCTAATACTGTTGAAATTGTACTTTAGAAAACCTCTTCAAGCTGATTTTTTTTTTTTTTTTTTTTTTTTTTTTTTTTTTTTTTTTTTATGCAAAGGTATATGCAACGCTGAACTCTTACCTAAGCCAATAAGTTTCAAGACAGCATAAATGAGATGTAGCAGCGTCACACTTCTGGAATCGGTGGATGTTACAACCTGACATGCCCATTTTCTTATGAGCCCTAATAAGCTCCATTTATGGGTACGAATGCCTATTCTAAGGTTTAGAATATATATTGGACGTATTCGGTCTCTGGTAGCAACGGCTACATTGAAATATCTTTTAAAAAGCTCATCATTGGTTCTTAAATATATTGGTTCTTAAAAAACAATAAAAAAACTGTGAAAATTAATGTTGTAGGATAGGTACCCTGTTTGTGAAAAATATGTTCCCATAGGTAGGTAATAATATTATTAATAAATATTTAAAAATAAATATTATTTATTGATAGCTATACGTTGCTAGTTTTTTTCATTATAAAAATTTGTGTATGTAATTTATAACAAACGTTAATTTCACTTAGAGGGATACCCTTTCAAAAGAAACGCCCTAAAACACTCGTTTCAACAGTTTTCTGAGTGTTTTTAGTGAGTGGGTTTTAACGGTTATTGTTGTCTCTGGAGATTTGATTCATTTTTGACTATCTGCATGATTGATTCCCTCATCAAATAGCCTCAACTCTCATTTCGATGAAGTCAAGCGTAGAGCAGAGGTTGGAGATTCCGCGGCGCCGATGCCTGTGAAAAGTAAAGAACACCTGTGTTACACAAATGAAGAAAAAAGGAAATGCTGAGGGCTGAGGAATCTTCGGCGGGAAGCGAGCGAAGCGGAACCGGCTGGTGTCCATGTCGTGCACGGTCCGAGCTGAGCTGAGCCGGTCGCTAGGATGCGAGAGGAGGGAACCGCTCTAACCTGTTCTTGGTCTCGGTCTCGGTCACTCTCGTTGGTTCGAACCCCAAGAACGAACAAGACCAGTGTCGAGAGGGGTCATAGAGGCCTATCTTAAACCTCCTTTCCACTCCTTTCTGTGTCCGTTGTGATGGCCGTGACTCACCACTATATAGCCATCGTTTCCGGAATAGCTTGCATAGTTTGAAAACAAGTTTTTGAACAGAACAAGTTTTGACCTACATTCGACGGATCCTCTTGATTTCTGCATTTCAATTGATGGATCGGAATGCTAACTTTGGGGCTTTTGGTTTGTCGGCTCTGGAATAAATAGGTAATAAAAAAAAAAAAAAAAAAAAAAAAAAAAAAAAAAAAGTAATTTGAAGGGGATAAGAGAGAAAGTGAGGGGGAAAAAAAGGGGGAGAAAAAAGGAAATGTGCGATAAAAGGAGACGGTATAAGTACCTAGGTGCATGGCCAAATTCGTCAGATGTTTCTGAGGTGGTAGAGCTGGCTTACGATATATCGCATCGTTTATGTCAAAAGTCTCGGCAGATCTTGAATTTTTAGTGATTTTTAGTCATATAAATAGATGTAAGCCCCTGCGCATGAGCCTAGAGAGTCATTTTAGAACAAAAAAATTCGCAAAATTCAGAGAGATGAGAGCAGAATGCTGCCCGGAAGAAACACCTCGCATTCAAAACACAAAATAACGTGAAAATCAGCGTAAATATCAGAATATTTAGTGATCCAATAACGTACACTGTCAATATTTCTGTGATGGATGATTTCTTTTAACGCCCAACTAAACTTGAGGTTTCCCTAAAAATTTCATGAGAGGGTAAAAGGCTTTAAACCCCCCCCCCCCGGTCAAACGGAGAGAACTCTCTTGTTATACCTCTTTCGAAAGCACATGAAAAAAGACAAATTATCGTGCAAGCCCGAAGTCATTATCTCAAACTGCTCCAAAATGGCGGCCAGTCAAAAGTCAAAATGACCGAAAATTGGCACCTCGATCGCTTTTTGCCGAAACTCTATACCCAGGGTGTATTGGTACGAAAAAGTGAATCTGACGTTGGATTCTCAAATAAAACGAGCTTCTGAGATGGTGGCCAGCTAAGGTTGAAATTACCAAAAAACAGTGTTAAAAAAATTCCGACGTCGGATTTGTTTTTTTCGAGCACAAATAAGTACCTTCAGATACCGATTATTGCGCAAATCCATCGACAAAAAACCGATCAAAATTTTTGGCCACCTTATAAACTTTAACCGCGCGCCATTTTGAACAGGTTGGAGATATTGACTTCGGGTTTGCGCAAAAAGTTTTCCTTTTTTACCTTTTTCGAACGAGGTATCACAAGGGAGGATCATTCCATTATAAAAAAAAAAAAAAAAGTTGCTCCGTTGCTCTACTTACTGAAATTTTAGGGGGCCAAAATGTAGCTGCCCTTGCCCGCCTAGGAATATTTCCCAAGTTTCAAATCATTATTTCAATTCGGTGAAAAGTTAGAGAGGGTTAGAAGGGACTTTTGGATCACCCTGTAGAAGTATACCATTTCGTCCGAGTGTAGATCGTAAAATCGTCAGCTCGTCTCTTGTGGCCGGGGTTTGTTCCACCACTCCGCCTCGCGACCGGTAATTAAATATGAGGCATGGACGAAATAATTCTAGGCAGTCATTTCCTTACTTTTGACCGTAACTCAGCCTCGAACATGAATAATCGTGCATTCGATCTTATTCGGAGTGTTAAAGAAAACTGGGTCGTATTCCTGCATCGACCGAAATTGAGAATGGCGAACACTTAGCTCATGCGAGCCTAAATCGATGTGATCGTCTTCATATCATGACCATTCATTTTGTTATTCAAGGCATGTTCGCAGAACGTTTCGAAGCGAAATGGATGGGAACAATATCGATGGCTTGAAAGCGAAACCATGTATCTCCATTGCGGATCAAAATCTCTGCTCCTATATAGTTGATATTCTTTAAAGAGAAATGGGTCAACTTTACAGCTTTGCATTTATTTATACAGAATATTATGCTAACAACTGAGAAAGATCAAATAATTTTTGAAGATATTACGTTGACTAGTTTGCTAATAAAAAAAAGAAGCATAACAATTAAGAAGTCTGCAATACGTGTTGCAAACGGTGATGTGTGGTCTCTTTGACCATCGATATCGTCAAATTCTCTAGGCCAAAGGCCTTTTTGTCTCAGTAGGTAATTTATTCCCATCGGATATTTTTTTAAGGTTTCTTTTATTTTATTTTAATTCTTCAAGACTTTTGGGTGGGCCTTGGAACTCCGCCGAGAAGAATAAAAAATTATTTTCTCGGATGGACGGACAGATGGACAAATATTTTGAAACTTTCCATTTGTACTATATTTTTTTATTGACCTTTTCGTACATGCAGATCTCCACGTTCGCGAGACTTCTTCCACATTCTGTTGGGACCTCTCCATCCCCCCCCCCCCTAACTGAACAAAATTAGTTAAAGTCTTATCCTCCTCGTGGAAGCTCGTTCGCCTTTCTGTCCCCGTGGCCGCACTCCCGTGGGAGTGATTTATTTTCAAGGATTTACTAGCCAGAGCGGCAGATCGAAATCATACGAGGGCGTGGCGTTGCGACTCATTTCATCTCCTGAATTTTAGCGCATGTCGATTGCAATAATCATCCCTGTCCACTTGTGGAATTTAGTCTACGGGGTGTCCTAAAAGTCTGGTACGCCCCCTCTGAATTTTTACCTACCTATAATTCGTTATCACGAAATTTTGGGGGAGTTCATGGTTGAATACACCTGTGAGGGGAGAGTACGTACATGTCGAAATATGGACCTCTTGGGGGGCGGGGGGGGGGGGTTTCCAACAATCTATCACAAAAATCACTGAAAAAATTCCGCTGCCAATAATCTTCAAATTCCAGTATCAAACCAGGATGGCCAATAATGTTCATAAATGAGCATTCTTCCGCCAAAATGAGTAAATCGATGCAAAAAATGGGTCAAATGCGTGTTTTGCGAACGAGAGGTCGTAACAGTTGTAATAAAAATCATGCTGAATACTGAAAGTTCATAGGTTGGCAGCCCTTTCGGGCCCTAAAATCTTCTTGATCTACCTAATTTCCAAATTACCAACATGTCTGTGTTCTCTCCATAAAGGTATATAGTTCCTAGATCAATGTAAGCTACTTGGGGGACCCCCAACATTTTTGAGGCCCCTAGCCCTACACAAAGGGGCTGCGGACCCCAACATTTATTTCAAATAGTAACCCTCTCTTCGTAACACCTCAATAGAAAGAGGATAAAAAAGGAAAAGTTTTTCGAGCAATTTGTAGGGCACCATTTTGATTTTTGAAAAAAAAGGGGGCCGGTCGAGGTTCTAAATAGGAGTAAACCCGAAATTCTCCCAGATTCGGAACCTTGGCAAAAAATCCAAATCCGGCATTGGTCCCTGAAAATGGCGACCACTGACGAATAATGAGTATTTAACCTGTTTTTCGGCAGTTTCTTATAAAAGCAATGCCGAATTCGGGTTTCTCTTGCCATAAAAACCCCGATTACTAAGTATTTATCGAGAGATTCGGAATTTTGACCGGCTGCCATTTTGTCAAAAATTAGAATGGCAACCTGTTGTTTGCGCCAGTAAGTACTTATTAACTATCGAAAGAAATCACGATGGGGATTGGGGGGGGGGTTTGCCACTTGAAAAAAAAGTTGTAGCCCGGCAGCCTCCCCTGTGAGGGGGTCCCAAAAGTAGCTTTACATTGATTCGCAAACATCCCCAAAGTTTCGTTGCAAAATATGAATCAGGTTTAGGTTAGGAGGGGGTGAACCGAACATTTAGAACATCCTGTTTAACGATAAGTGCGGCATCTTGAAGCAGAAGGGAGAAAAGTCCAATGTAAACATTGGATTGTGTGATTTGTTCTCTTTTTCTTATTTTTGAAACGTCGCACGTCATCCTCTTTTTCCATTTACGGATTTATTTTCGTCAAAAAAGACGTAAGTGACCTCCAGTCCGTCTCCAAAAATAGCTCACGAGACCTTAAAATTGTTTGGTTTTTAAACTACACAATGCCACCGGTTCAAGCTCTCTGTTTTGATGTCCTGAATAAGAGATCATTTTTCTTACAAATAAAATATCCGGGGAAAAATCGGTGCTAGTCCCTATTCAAAATCTTAAACAAAACCCTCCCCCTCCTATCCACCCAGGCTCATCACGAAAAATCCCTGATCATCCCAGCTTGTCTCTTTTCTCAAATTATACCTAGATATACTCACTTTATCCCAAATTTTACCGATTCGTGCCATATTCTTTTGAGTTGGTAGGTAACAAATTTTCTCGATTTACTATAGGTACGTATCATCCCTATTGAAGCCGAATCATTCCAATTCACGATTTTTTAAAATGAATGTAATAGGTACTAATTTTTTCATGTCTGCTCTGATTTCAGAAATCAAAACAAAAACAATAAGCACAAAAACGCAAAAGCTCCGTCATTCCTCAATAATGCCTTGAAAACGAATAAAACGGAGTAAAGGTTTACCTACAATGACCGCGGTGACCCTATCATGGTTAGCAGTTTTGATCCTAGTCATTCTCTCACTCTCAAACTTAGCAGAGGCCAAATCAGAGCAGCGAGATAACGACGATGAAGACTGGGGAGATGGAGGCTTCTTAAAAAATCAGAAGCCATACACCGTTGAAATTGAGGATCTCACCCTAGATGGTGGATCATCTCCGGTGATAGGAGATGACGTACCCGATGATCAAATGGTCGACTCGCATATGAGTAACCTCTACTCTGAAATGATGTCAACAGGTTCGTTCTTCTTTTTTTATCACATGACTAAAAATGGTGTCTATGTATTACGTTTCTGGATACGTGTCTGATAGATAACATAAAATACGACAAAAAGAGCAAGTTCATATGGTCCAAATACTATTTGGATACGGTATCTTATACGTACGTATTTTTCAATACTTAATACGTATTACAGGGTGATCCAAAAGTCCCTTCCACCCCCTCTAACTTTTTACCTAATTGAGGTAAAGATTTGAAACTTGGAGGATATTCCTAGGTCAAAGGGAGCTACTTTTTGGCCCCCTAAAATTTTCAGGGGGCCCCCCTTGGGGGGCAACGGCCCCCAACTTTTAATTTTCGAATGAGAAGACCCCCTTTGTGATAGCTCGTTTGAAAGAGCATAAAAAAGACAACTTTTAGCGCAAACCCGAAGTCAATAGCCCAAACCGTTTCAAAATGGCGGCCGGTTAAAGTTCAAAATGGCCAAAAATTCACACCGGTTATTTGTCGATGGATTTGCGCGAAAATCGGTATGTAGGGGTATTTTGACACGAGAAAAACGAATTTGACGTTAGATTTTCAAAAAAACCGGAATATCCAAAATGGCCGCCGGTTAAAGTTTAAAATGGCCGAAAATTTTCACCTCGGTTTTTTCCTGATGGATTTGCCTAAAACTTGGAATTTGAGAGTATTATGGCATAAGATAAACAAATTTGAACTTAGATTTCTAAAAAAATAAATTTTTGGTCATTTTGAACTTTAACTGGCGGCCATTTTGAAAATTTCGGTTTTTTCGAAAATCTAACGTCAAATTCGTTTTTCTCGTGTCAAAATACCCCTACATACCGATTTTCGCGCAAATCTATCGACAAATAACCGGTGTGAATTTTCGGCCATTTTGAAATTTAACCGGCCGCCATTTTAAAACGGTTCGAGATATTGACTTCGGGTTTGCGCGAAAAGTTTTCTTTTTTTATGCTCTTTCGAACGAGCTATCACAAAAGGGATCTTCTCAAAATGGCCGCCGGTTAAAACTCAAAATGACCAAAAATTGATTTTTTTAGAAATCTAAGTTCAAATTTGTTTATCTCATGCCAAAATACTCTCAAATTCCAAGTTTTAGGCAAATCCATCAGGAAAAAACCGAGGTGAAAATTTTCGGCCATTTTAAACTTTAACCGGCGGCCATTTTGGAATCGGTTTTTTTTTTTTTTTTTTAAATCTAACGTCAAATTCTTTTTTCTCGTGTCAAAATACCCCTACGTATCGATTTTCGCGCAAATCCATCGACAAACAACCGGTGTGAATTTTCGGCCATTTTGAACTTTAACCGGCCGCCATTTTGAAACGGTTCGAGATATTGACTTCGGGTTTGCGCGAAAAGTTTTCTTTTTTTATGCTCTTTCGAACGAGCTATCACAACGGGGGTCTTCCCATTTGAAAATTAAAAGTTGGGGGCCCCCTGAAAATTTTAGGGGGCCAAAAAGTAGCTCCCTTTGACCTAGGAATATCCCCTAAGTTTCAAATCTTTACCTCAATTAGGTAAAAAGTTAGAGGGGGTGGAGGGGACTTTTGGATCACCCTGAATACATATTTGGATACGCATTTTCCCTTTTTTTTAATTGATTCGTATTTTACATGGAATTTTGGCTACTAGAAAAGTTCAAAAAGGCCAAAGATCGGCACCTCACTTTTTAGCCGTCTCGGAATCAGGGGGTATTTTGACAGGGGAAAAACAAACTTGACGTTAGAAAAGAAAAACCTAAAGTTTTAACATGGCGACCAATTAAAGATCAAAGAGGTAGAAAAATCGCAACCTCAGTTTTTTACATTTACCTAACATCAAAATCTTTTTTCTCGGGAAGTTGCCCGCACGTTCGACCTCGCATCAGGAACCGGGACGATCGAATCATGTATTAGTTAAACGATGAATTGTAAAAATAAGTATAAACATTGCGCTATTTCAACATAAATTTTTCTGATTCACAGTCAACCAAGATGGTTTGAAACAGCACGGTGGAGGTCATGCCGGAGGCCTAGGAGGCCATGGTGGAGGTCACGGAGGAGGCCTCGGAGGCCACGGAGGCCACGGGCTGAAGAAGAAGAAAAAAAAACCAAAACCACACAAAAAAAAGAAGGGTTTCAAGGAGAAGTTCCTTCCTCTCTTGCTGATTCCCTTCATTATACAAACAACGCTGATTCCAATGTTCATTATGAAACTCAAAATGATTGCCATGAAAGCTGCTGTTCTAGGCAAGCTTGCCCTAACGTTACTAGCTTTTAATTTTATACGTAACTACAGATTTGGAGGTGCTCAAACAGCTGATGAGCATTACAGCGTAAGTGTTTAAGGTTTACAATATTAGAAGATAGAGTCTGTAGCTTCAATTCAGCAAAAAAGAGAAATGCAATCGATAATGAAGTCGTTCCCCCCCCCCGGTCCCTTACTTGTATCCCTCTTATTCCCTTAATATCTCTCCATATCCCTCATTATCGCTGTATACCCTCTATATCGCTGAGTATCTCTCTTTCCCTCTATATCACTCTGTATCCCTTTATATCCATGTTTATCCTGTAAATCCCCCTATCTCCTTCTACCCCTTCTTTATCCCTCTATAGCCTTGTATATCTCTCTACATCCCTCTTTATACCTATATAACCGTCTGTAGTAATCCCTCTAAAGGGAGTTCCAGAGAACCCGCCTACTATCTATTTCTCGGGGACGGCGAAGAATTCAGCTTCGGGACGAATATTTTTAGGGTTAAATCGACCTCAAAGAATTCAATGAAAATATTTCCAGCCCCCCAAAATCCCATGGGAGGAGGGGAGAGTTGAGGGGGGTGCCCCCTGTTTCTTACAAATTTCAAATAGGTAGGGTGTGTTTCGACTTCTGATTTAAATTCTAGGACCGAAAATAAGAACTTTTTGTTCAATGCACTTTTTCCGTAAACCACCATTCTTTGGAGTTACGGGGCATTTATTGGGCGAATTTAAAATAGTCACTGTAAAATTATTTGACTTCCAAAATCTAAAATTGTCCTGAGAGAAAAGGTCAATACTTGTTTATTGGTGTGCCCATGACCTCTGCTGATCCAAAATTATGGGGACCACGACCCCTTGAAAATTTTGGGGCTTTGGAGGGCCAAATAAGTCGAAAATGTTAAATGACAAGGGTATATCTTTACCTACTTCAAATGTGGATTCTACGTGAAAATTTACGTCAAATTGACATGGCGCACGGCCTATTTACCCCAAATTTTTTTTTCCCTCCTCTTTCCTCCGAAATTAAACGGCTCCTATAAAGGGGAAATGGGGTGTTAGGATATTTTATGGGACAAAGAAGGCATATGCCACATTAACTCTACGTAAATTTTCGAGTAGAATCCAAGAAATAAAAACATGTTGGTGGTTGTTGATTTTGATATGAGCCGCACCACGGTGCATGAGTCGCGGAAAAGGGATCACTCGAGGGGGAGACAAACCGCGAACGAACCAATCTTTGCGTGGCCGCCATTTTGTCTTTCTTGGCGATGTACGTTTAAAGAAAGGTTTGAATCACGCAAGTTCAAAATCATTTTTCGTAGTTCATTAATTAATAAAGTTTTTTTAAAAATTTGAATTAAAACCAAGGTGTTGTGTGAATATTTATTTATATATAATATTTACATATAATATAAATATTCACACAACATCTTGGTTCTAATTGAAATTTTAAAAATTAAAATGGTGTTGTTCCAATCAAATCTTATTAATTAATAAAGATAAAAAAATGGCCATGAACTAAGTGCACTGTCTATTTTCAAAAATGCAAGAATTAAAAATTACCTACTAAACATAAGCTCGACTGGCTAATCACTAAAAGCCTATTTTTTATACATAGCATTACTACTTTTTGAAAATAAAAAATCTGATTTTTGGGAGAGAAGCCTTCTGCCGTCTTACTTTGCCACGGAAAGCAGTATGTAGACATTTCTTTGTTATCGAAATTGTTGACACCAGAGAATTATGTAAAAAAAAAAAAAAAAAAAAAAAAAAAAAAAAAAAAAAAAAAAAAAAATAAATATTCTTGTTTTATTTTTTTTCGCAGAATCGACTTGCAGAGGAACATTACGGTTACAGTGGAGGTGCTCCTGAAATAGGGGCTTGGGTCAACGGAAGGAGTTTCCATGCTTTACATTAATATGGTTTTCAGGAATGATTGTCCAATGCATTTGTAAAATTCAACCGATTAAAATTGATCGCCAACAGTTTGGTCCTGCTGAAATTAAATGCCTGCATGTACCTGCCTGATATACGACAAATCATCAATGCAACCGCCCAACCGAGGAGCTTGAGGGACAAGGGGCGTAATAAAGTGCAGTTTTTGCTACTTCGAGAAATACGTTTTTGAAGCTTCGAAATCACATGGATCCTTATGGCGGAAAGAAAGTTCAAACTGACATTTTGATGCTTAAAAATTGGAATTCGTGGGCTAATTTTTCACAGAATTTGCATTTAGACTTTTTTTTAACTGAATTCATTACTATCTCATTTCTTTAAAAAACTGCACGTATGCGTATATTGTCCTCCAATCCCTCAGTTATTCTTGTACACACATTTGATTAGGTACTCACTAAACATGAACTATTGCTGCAAAATTAAAAATATCGAAAGGCTCCCTTTCGTAGGTATAATTTGTTTATCCACTCAGGGAAAAAATTAATCCCAAATTTGTTCTTAATTTAGAAAAGTAAATAATTTTTAAATCAAAATCAAAGTCGTATGGTTGACTCTCTAATGACAAATTTTAATTGTAATAAAAGAAATTGACTTGTTATAATGTTGTTTCTGTTTTCCACCTTGTCACGGCAGAAAATAATAATTTACCTTTAAATTATCATGTTTAAAAAACAAGTGCGATTTTATAATTTGTAAGGCTTTTTTGAGGGGGAAAAGCTAATTTTTGGCAACGAAGCCCTTGGTTTAATTGATCTGAATTTTTAAAATGTTATTCTTGTTTTCCTCAAAAAGGTCATTCCGAAATTTAGGTGGCAAACCCTATCTCTCTTTGACTTCGAAACAAGTCCAAAGTTTCAAGTTTCGGTGGTTTAATCGGTAATAAAGGTCCACATACCCATGGTCAAAAACATACATAGGTACCCTGACACAAACAATTTCGCAAATTGTGAGACATACTAGTTTTAACAGGGGATCCGAGGTAAATTACTTGAAAAATGGGTGTTATGAAAATTTCATGGGGAAAAAAATAAATAAATTTGTAGCACCGGAATAGCATGCACCAAACAGCTGGTGAGCACATATCTCTTATGACAACTTTTGGTGACTTGTAAAACACACTTTTGTTAGGCCGAAAAAATTAGTGTAGTTGCTCTTATTATACCAAACAAGAGGCCTGTAGCCGCTACGCGGCCTCCAACCACTGAGAAAAACTACACATGAAAAAAAGAAGAACAACCATGTTCAAGTTTAAGAGATGAATGGATTCAAAAGACGACGGACGCACACGAAAGAAAGCATCATCATTAATATAAACTTCGAAGGATTCAGACTTTCAGCGATTCTACCTTTTTCTATTTCACTCGAGAGGTTGCCAGATTGTGTGATAAATGTGAAAATTTTACATGGATTTGGATTGGGAAAAGTGCCAAAAAAGCAACTTATCTGGCAACAATAGAGTCCGGGAGGTACAAGAGGCTGCCTTGCTGGGAAACCCCATGATTTAGCCGGAAATGTCATTTAAACAATTGATTCCGTTTGAAGCATCAATTGTATACTAGGGGAAAGCTATTTTAAAATAATAATTGTAAATGGACACAGATGCTACAGAAAGGGAAAAAGGAAATGGAAAGGAAACGGAATGAGGATATGATTACTAATATGCAATCAGAGATAATAAAACAAAAACATCAGAGAAATTTATATGCGATGAAAGTATAAGAAAAAAACACGAGTGGGCTCATTGCGATTCGGAACTCGGACTATACTATCGTTGAGCAGTTTTTAGACCCCTACGCCACCGATAATCTTCTTAAAAGGTAAAGATAAACTTTCGCTACTTCAGCAAGTCAAATCGCGGAGGGGGGTCCCTGGATTGTCTTTTTCCGCCACCCGATGGGATGACGTCCCAGTCAAATGCGTTTTTGAAGAAATGATCGATCCCCATCGTCGCTTCATCTCCACACATCTATTCATGTGCAAATGATGGCACGCTCCAGCACGAAATCATTTTTGTCTCCAGAGTCTCCAAAATGTATACATCTTAATGATCAATAATGTCCAATCACTGAGAAAAATGGCTCGCGTATAGCGAGTGATCGGGGGTCCAGGGGGCGCAGCCCCTTAATTAGCTGGCCGTGACGGACGCGCAAAGCGCGTCCAGAACGGCTAGTATTTATCTCCAATTGCAACGTTATACACCAATTTTTATGTTTTATTTTTGAACACCGTTTTTGGAAGCTACACACAATTTTTCCCACGAATTTTCTTACATGATCTCAAGTGTAAGCATTGTTCGACGCAATATTTTCGTTATCATTCTATTTTCTTTCAATGTACCTAATAATAATAATAATAAAAAAAAATTAAACATGCGAGTTTCTGTACATATTTTCCCTTAGCTTATGGTAAAAACCGGAGCAAAGAGTCAAGAATGGTGCCACTAAATCCTAGTTTAACAGTCGCTTTAGCGTCGTGCGAGCCTGGGAATGGAATGCGGTGGAGTCATCTTTGCAGTGTGACGCGCCTTCCATCCGGCAAGCGGCATTATGCCTACGCCCGTGGTCGAGCGTTATTTCGTCACGCCTACCATGAATGAAACCAAATATCGACGCCTCCGTGGAAAAAAGTGTTCTTATCTCCGATAGCAACTTTGCAAATCGCTACTCATAATTTTTTTAAATCAATTTTATTTTAAAAAAAGCTACATACAGTTTTTTTGAGAAGTTTCCGAGAAATTTCCGGAACGATTTGAAATAAAATCACAAAAAATTTCGACGCGATATTTTCGTTCGTTCTGTTTTCTTTTATCAAGCCAAAATTAATTTTACGCGAATCAAGACTCGGAATTGCTGCATCGTTTGAACATCGTCCGAAGCGTTGCAATTATGATACTTATTTAAACTTCTATTGTGATAAAAACCGAGCAGAAACCGTCAAAATAAATGACGCGTATCCGCGCGAGGCAATGTGCCTCCACCGGTAGTCGAATAGTTATCGCAAATAACGCTCGCATTGCATTTGGTGCAATGCGAGAGGTATTTATGCAGTCTTGTAGACGCTAATATGCGTTTGACGCCGACCGCACTGTTTGGCGCAATCCGTGAACTATTCCTACAGTCTTGCAGGCGCCAATATGAGTTTGATATCGACCGCACCGTGTTCGGCGCGATTATTCGAACTCGCGTTTAGGGTAGTAACGGACTAACGGCATGGAATAATGGGGCTTAAAAGGCCCATGTTGTGTTCCGACGCCGCCTGGGTACGCGACGCAACCTGAGCCGGCAATAACAACCACATTTTTCCTCCCATTTCTTACATACAGACTTAAGACTGTCGATCGTAGCGGTGGGCATGGTTGGAGGTGCTTCTTAAAAAGTTACTTAAAATACTACGTTATTGTGCAAAAATGTTTAAAATTTTAAGAGTAAAAAAATTAAAAAAGACTGTTCGTGCAAGTTAACGCACTGAAAAAAAAATAAAAATAAAAAATAAAGCAGGCAGGTAAAAATTTGTAGAGCACAGTTTTAACAAATTTGAGGCAGCCAATTTGATTGCTTCTACAAGTACTTCATTTTTGACAAAATGGCGGCCGGTCAAAGTTCAAAATGGCGGAAATTTGGCATCTCCGTTGTTTATTGACGGATTGGTGTGAAACTCGGAATTCTAGGGTTTTTCGAGACGAGAAAAACGATTCTGGCATTGGTTTTCCAGAATAGTGAGTCCTTTTCAAAATGGCGGCCTGAAGCGAGAAGTGGATATTTATAGGCTGCATATCGTTGGATTTGCATGAGACTTGGTATCTGGGGGTATTTCGGCACGAGAAAAACGAATCCTTCATTTGATATCTGAAATTTTGACAAATTCCAAAATGGCGGCGGAAAAATGAGAAATCCGAATTTCGTGGTCCCGAAAACCCCCCACTCCCCCCTCTGGAAGGTAAAGGGGGGGTCACGATGCTAAAAGTCACGGTTCCCGACCAAATTGCGGATGGATCGCATCAGAATTGAAAAGCACGGAAAATTTCACGTGGAATTGACCCCTAAAAATCCAAAATCGGACCATCCAAGGCCCAAAAATGACCCCCTAAAGAGGGGGCCAGTACCTTCCCTCCATAATTTCTCTTAGGTCTCAAAATTGACGTAAATTCTCCAGAAGAAGACGGTTTCCCAGGTAATCGACCTCAAGAAATCCAAATTTCATGGTCCCGAAGCTCTTCTAGCACCCCTCGGGGAGTAAACGGGGGGGGGCAATTTTAAAAATCGGGGCTCCTTTCCGAATCACAAATTGATTGCATCCAAATTGAGGAGCAGAACACATTTACATCTTAAGTGACTCCTAAGAGTTCT